AACCAAACGCTCTTTTCTATGACACACAAGAGAAGCAACAAAATTTCAGTATCCAAGAGAAATAGCTTTTTAAAACCCCCTCAAGAAGTTCCAAGGCATGGGGGTGTTTTGTGGGACTGCCTGTGGACCTGTCCTGGCAGCGGGACASAGGGAGCAGCCCCTGCAGCAGAGCYGAGCCTTGCGGGGAGCAGGAGCGTCACTTACCCCTCATCAGCGGGTTTGATGGAGCCGCTGCAGACGCCTGGCCTCCGACTCCTTGCAATTTGCTGGCATTTCGGTTTGTTCTCTCTTCATCCATCTCAGCCCTGTCTGTCCAACCGCTGCTTTTTCACTTTGTGGTTGGTTTCCAGAGTTCAAATTCCATCGTCCCCGGTGAGCCCCCAGCGGCCGGAGCGCTCTCTGGAACAGACTCGGCACGCATGAGTCGAGCAGAGCTTGCAGCAGCCCGGGACGTGGTGCCGGCGGCTCTCGGGGCAGAAACTCGAGCACCTGGGTTGGGATTTAACAAAACAGCTCCCGGGCTGCCCTGGTCGGCAGCCAGCGATCCAGCCAAGCGAGAGATGTGCCTGATGTCACATCCTCTCCAAAGCGACGCCCAATCGGGGCGCCCGCCGCTCGTTTTTATCAGGAAGGAAATTCTTCGTTTGCCAAAAAAAAAAAAAAAAAAGGGACAGAAAGAGCCAGTTCAACAAGTTGAGCGAACTCTGCCTGCAGGGGATGCGCAGAGAGCCCGGGAGCGCGGGCCTGGGAGCGCCCAGCTCCCTAAGCAGGGCTTTGCAGGAGCTCCGCMGTGCCCGGGAGAGAGCACCGCGGGGCTGCTCCGAGCCCAGACGGGGCAAGTGGGCGACAGAGCCGCTCCGCTGCTGCTCGGCACTGAGCCCGTCCCGCACACCCCAACCGCATCCTGCCGAGCTGTACTGCCCATCCCTCACACCCCGAACCGCATCCTGCCGAGCTGTAGGAGCTGTACTGCCCATCCCGTACACCCTGAACCGCATCCCTGCAGAGCTGTGCTTCCCATCCCGCACACCCTGAACCGCATCCCTGCCGAGCTCCGCTGCCCATCCTGCACACCCTGAACCGCATCCCTGCAGAGCTGTACTGCCCATCCCGCACACCCTGAACCGCATCCCTGCAGAGCTGTACTGCCCATCCCGCACACCCTGAACCGCATCCCTGCGGAGCTGT